GGAAGAGCTCCGGGCCAGTGTCTCGCATTTCAAAGTATCCTAGATGCACACTATCAGGGGTAAAACACCCCACCTCTGGTGAAAGGGGTCTCTCATTATGGCAGAAACAGCCTAGCAGCCTGTCTGAACACGCTGTGTTAGGAAAACACCCGGATGCTGTCCTAGGTCATTTAAGGCAAAGGATCTCTCTGCCCTAACTTTTCTCTCTCGCTCTTTTGCTATAGGGCGCTTGCACTCGCCAGAAAGACGCACAGAGTAAGAAAGAAATCCCTGGGGGGGGAGGGGGGAGATGGCCATGCCGCAACCCCTTCTTCTCCAGTTTTTCGGGATTTGGGGCATGCACACATATACATCTGGTGTTACTTTTAAGATTCCAGGTCCGGGACTTGAAACACACAATCAGCCATGGGGATCCAGCACCTTAACCTCCATGCTGCTTGCTAGCCCCCCTCACCTCTCATTTTAAGTCCTTCTTTTTAAATTACAACTTTTGTTTGTTTGCCAAATCTCTCCTCCCCAGTGAGTGTCCCTACACCAAGGGTCTCATGACACCTGCAGATTACCACCCCCCTTTTTGGCATTTCCGTAGACCTGTAAGGGAGACCAGAGTAAGTGGTAGCTGTGCACAGTCCCCCTGGCAGCAGGTGTGGGCTAGCTGGGCCACTCCATAGTTTGGCGGATGAGAGCAGCTGTGGGCTAGACTTGGGGGTTAAGTACCCCGTCTGTAGGCAGGGCAAAGGTGGGGTACCCCTGCCACTCCTACACACATCCCTACCCCCCCCCTCCTAGAGGCTGTGTTATAGCTACACTGCTGCTTGTCAGACTGCAGGTTAAAGGGGCAAGGAGGACAAGAAGGTTTCTGCAGTAACAGATGTGGAGGAGCTGGAGGGAGGCAGGGTGCGGCTCCACCTCTGGGGAGTTCAGATATTAGGTATCAGTACTAAGTGGAGAAGGCTGGGAGAGGAGGCGGTCAACATTTACTGAAGGCTAGTCAGTGCAAGGCAGGTCACTGGGAGTTCAGTGTGCCAATTCATTCAGTTCTCAAGGTAGCCATTTGAGGGGTTATTGTTATTCAGTTTATGAGTGAGGAAACTGAGGCACAGAGCTGGTAAGTGATTGGCTCAGGGGCACAGCCAGTAAATGGAGGCAGCACCCAAAGGTTCCCTAGGCCTCCCTCCTATGCCAAGAGTCCACAGAAAGTGGCCCAGCCGCCTCCGCAGAAGTCTTCACATCTGCCACGCGCTCCCCATGCTCCTGTTCCTGTGGGAGACAATGCTAGAGCTCAAGCTAGTCCTCGTTCGGTGCCTGGCCACCATCTGCGAGGCGGCCAGTACCCACAGGCTTTAGCAACCAGCGCGTTCAGGTGCGCTCGCGTCGCGGGCGAGGGAAGGGCCCATGCAGATGAACAGAGGTGGTCCTTCGTTAGGACGACAGGCGGCAGCGTGAGGGACATTCTGGTAGGACAACTGTCGGCCCCACTAGCCCCTGGCGGTGGTTGAGATCGCCCGCCAATTGTGGAGATCACTAACTAAACCGCCTGTAGGGCCTGAGCATTAGGTAGCCATTTGAGGGGTTATTGTTATTCAGTTTATGAGTGAGGAAACTGAGGCACAGAGCTGGTAAGTGATTGGCTCAGGGGCACAGCCAGTAAATGGAGGCAGCACCCAAAGGTTCCCTAGGCCTCCCTCCTATGCCAAGAGTCCACAGAAAGTGGCCCAGCCGCCTCCGCAGAAGTCTTCACATCTGCCACGCGCTCCCCATGCTCCTGTTCCTGTGGGAGACAATGCTAGAGCTCAAGCTAGTCCTCGTTCTCGGTGCCTGGCCACCATC